TATTTATTTTGCATTTTGTTTTAATTTCATCGTCCTGTCTGTCATGCCTAAAACCAGTGGACTGGTAGGCACACTGTTAGATATGAGTGCCACAGATGTTTCTTATAAACTAAAAACAACCTTTTACATCAAAGGATTATGGGAAGATTGTTTGTCAGTTTTTAATATAACACAAAAAGCAGAAAGATTGCAAGAAAACATAACCACATGTTAAGTTAATAAAACCCTACATGTTCAACAAAGTCATTAATAATCTCTAATAATTAAAATTCAACCTTTCTACCCTGATTATTATCGTCCTTGTGCTGCGTTTAAAGACCACGTCAAAGCTTTACCTCACGTCCAGCCTCTCCTTGAGGTCCGGTCATGCCGGGCATGCCAATGTTGCCAGCGGGTCCACGTGCTCCAGAAGGTCCAGGAGGTCCAACTCTACCAGGCTCTCCCTGTAATTAAAACACAAGTCAGTTGGTCAAAAACAGCTAAAGGGCTGGCCTCCGTGTGCAAAACAGGTGGGAGCTCGGACTCTGTGCAGCAACAGCATGTCACTGAGTTTGGCAACAGTTTTCATGACATGCTGGTGTGATCTCCCAAATTTATAAATGAAGCTAAATCAGTTGTTGAAGTGCAGCCAAGGCTAGCACTGATTTTTGTTTCTGTTCAAATGTTTAGATGTTTGATTGAGTTAAATGTTAGCCATTCTTTTGTGTGTGTGTGCTGAGTTTGTGTTTAAGTGACCAAAATGTGAGTCTTGGTGGTGCAATCAGTAATATTTTATACTTACCAAACCACCAGCACCACCAGGAGTACCACGATCTCCTCTAGCACCAGGCAGACCAACGAATCCCTGAAGTCCAAGAGGACCAGTGGTTCCAGGAGCACCAGGAGGTCCCTGAACACACCAAGAAAAGCTCATGTCTTTGTGATCTTGATTATAGTCAAGAATTTAGTAAATGGTTTTCTAAAATTTTGTACTGTGTGGACTGAAATGACGTACAGCGGGACCAGGCTCTCCAGAAGGACCCTTCTCTCCAGATGGACCAGGTGGTCCAACCATTCCCTGCTCTCCAGAAGGACCAGAAGGACCAGAATCGCCACGGAGACCACGAGGTCCGTCTTTGCCAGCAGGACCGGTGAGGCCAGAAGGTCCAACAATACCCTGGGATGGAAAGAGCAGAGAAGGTGGTTAATGTTAAGTGCATGGGTTGGTTTAATAATATTAACAAATATAAACTAATACTCACAGCAGGGCCAGGAGCACCAACTCTGCCAGCAGCACCAGGCAAACCAGTCGCACCCTGACCGAGAAAACACACAGAATTAGTCAGACTGGCTTTCATGATGTCCATTTAACAAGAAAGATGCTGATAGTGTGTTTAATTTGATCAGTTTTCTGTTATGGAGTAAACATGTTCAACATCATGACCTTGGAACAGAAGAGTGGTATGAGTAACTGAACAAAAGAAAATAATCTGAGTTTTATGCGTTAAACCAATAGTTTGCTGTATTTTCTGGTGGATGTGAAAGATGCATGTTCAAACGTGACTTTATACTCACAGCAGGTCCAGTCTCTCCACGGGCACCAGGAGGTCCAGCAGGGCCAGAGGGACCCTAGAAACCAGGAAGAGTGGGATCTGTTATTCACGCCCCGAAGTGGTATGTAAAGTTTTTGTTTATGATTTGGCATGTGATTCCTCTAAAATCAAGCTGTTCTGGTTGGCTCTTTTGAAAGAGTGTGAGTTTGCTTACAGCGGGTCCAGACTGTCCAGCAGGACCGGAAGGACCAGAGGGGCCAACTTCTCCCTTTCCTCCAGCAGGTCCACGCTCTCCTCTTGCTCCAGGCTGACCATCACTACCCTATGGAGTAAACAGTACTTAGTACATATCAGTACAAGTGTGTATGTGATGCAACTTGTTGGTAATCTGTATATACAGTATATATTAGGCCATTAGCAGTGGGCTTACAGGGGGACCAGCAAATCCAGGGGCTCCAGCAGGTCCAACCTCTCCACGCTCTCCCTGTAGACAACAAGCAGTTCTTCAGAACAGCTGAGCAAGACAATTCATAAAAGCTACATGCTTTAATATGAACAAACCAATACAATTATTAATAATAAGGTAATTAACAGGTACTTACAGAGGGTCCACGAGGTCCAGCAGGGCCAGCAGGTCCGAAGGATCCACTCTCTCCCTGAAAGAGACATAATGATTAAGACTTGTTCAGTCTATCTAATAATTAATCTGTTGATTAATCTGTTCACATACACTAACAAGAGAAAGTCTGTAATTTTTCCATTTGTGTTATAATATAAGAGATGATGTGAATGAATTTCACAATTCAGAGAATGAGTTTCCTTTGCTCTTTAGATCATTAGCTGGTGGTATCTGAGGATTTTAATGTTATTGTTACATTAAAAGGTAGTGAAAATGACTTATAAAAGCAAACAGATGCATTTTAAACTCATTTCATTTAGTTTGCTTAATGTATTTCATTGTTTTATGTAACTACTGGGAACTTACAGATCATGAGTTGTAATTCATAAAACAGCCTTAAGAGGGCAGCACTGAGCCAATTGTTCAGACAATACCTCAGAGCTATTGTTATACCTGACAAAAGCTTTGGTTACAGCAGTCATAGGTTTGAAGAAGACATCCAGCTTATTAAAATAATGATAATTATAATAATAACACTGTTGTGATGGTGTGTTTACAGCAGCAACATTTTCTTGCTGATGTAATCAGATCAGATGTAGTGAGTCTGTTTTCAAATGCTTTGACAGACGATATTTATAGATCACAAAATAGTTACTCATATTTGTTTGTACCATTGGGAAAATCTCCCACATTAATTATTTTGGGGATTTTTTTAAATATAATTACTTGTTTTCCAGCAATTAATTAATTAACTGACCTTATCTCCATTGGCTCCAATGGGTCCAGGAGGACCAGGAGGTCCTTGGAGACCCTGGAGAGAGAAAGAGAGCACAGTGAGATCAGGGCCCTGGCTAAAATATCAAAAATCATAATGTGAGTTGGTTAATATTTTATGCCACGTGTCTCATGAGCGACAGGAGAGTGTAACTTACACGAGCTCCATCTCTTCCAGAGTTTCCATCAGGGCCTCGGTGTCCTACCTCTCCCTGTGGGAGAAGGTGCAGTAGGTTGTGAGATGGACAGGAAAAATGAAAACCAATATGTGCTGATAATTGATACATTTTAGGTTACCTTCTCTCCCTTGGATCCTGGGGTACCAGCAGCTCCACGCTCACCGGGCATGCCAGCAGCTCCTTGATGTCCAGCAGCACCAGCAGCTCCAGCAGCACCAGGCTCTCCCTGGAAACACAGAAGAACCATTATAGTTCAACTGTGTGCCTATTTTAGCGCTCAGAGATTATTTTAACTTTAATCTTTGCTTTAAAATAAATCCTCCACAGCAGTCCTGCCATCTTACCTTGCCACCATCAGGTCCAGCGGTTCCAGCAGGTCCACGGGGTCCCATTTGTCCCTGAGGTCCAGTAGCTCCAGGAACACCAGCGTTTCCACGCTCTCCCTAAAGACATCACGCACGTACGTGTTCATTATGCACATCAACAACTGGTTTAATGCGGTCTGCAAAACCAAGGCTGGAACAGGTGGTCTCACCTTGCCACCAGCGGGTCCAGAAGCTCCCTGCTCTCCTGGGACACCCTACAGAAACACACCCAGCGGGTTAGAGGCGCTGCACTCCGACCCATGTGAAATGTAGCTTGTGTTCATTTGCTTACTCTCTCTCCAGGTTTGCCACCCTCACCAGCAGGTCCAGCAGGTCCAGGCAGACCCTAAAAGTATTAGCAAAATAACTGATGGTGTGAACAGGAAAGTAGAGAAAAATCCAGTTTTATAAAAAGATGAAAGCCAATTTATTGACATTTGAGTCTAGACATAGTAGCTTCTGCTATGTTACAGTCTGAGCAGCTGCAAAAACTAACACAGTTTAGCTTTAAGGCTTGTTTTAGCATGCTCCTTAGTTAAAACGTTCCTGGTGGATGTTTTAAATAAAAACAGGTACAAACCTGGAAGCCAGGAGCTCCAGCAAGTCCCTGTTCTCCCTTCTCACCAGAACCGCCCTATTTCAACAAGGAGAGAAGAGTTGCTTGTTTAAAATAGTTTAATGATGCTAAAGTCATATTGAAATGATTAATTTGATACAAAAATGAAATTAATGTCAGTTTGTGGACTTAAGGACACTTACAGCAGGTCCCATGGGGCCAGAGGCTCCATTGTTGCCATCAGGTCCAGGGAGTCCCTAATAAAAGAACATAATTCAGTTCTGATAACGTCCGAGATCTTCAACAGTAAATATAAATGATTGATTATTGACGTACTCTCAGTCCAGTGGGACCAGTAGATCCCTTCTCTCCAGGCTTACCAGGCTCTCCCTGGGAAACAACAGTTTTAACAAAAAGTTTAAAAAAGTGTGTTTATGATGCTAATTTTTAACGTCTGGGTTTATGTCTACTAACAGAGGGTCCCTTGGGTCCAGGGAAACCAATGTTTCCAGGCTGGCCTCTTGGGCCAGTTGGGCCAGGTGGTCCAGAGCGGCCATCTTGTCCAGCAGGACCCTGGAGTAGGAAGCAAATCATAAAGTTGTGTCACTTGATGTTCCCAGAAACATTACAACATGACACCAGTTGAAAGATATGTCTTAAAATAACCATTTAGGTTTACTCACAGTAGGTCCCTCTTTTCCTGGGGGTCCGGAGCTTCCAGGGCTGCCTGGGAGACCCTGTAGTGAACACACACGTCAGGGTGAACAATAATGAACTCACACGACTACAGAGCTTTATCCCTTTTAAGTAAAAGATCAAATCCAGCAGCGTAGCAAAAGACTCACTCTGAGACCAGCTGGGCCGGGCTCACCAGCACGACCAGCATCTCCAGGGGGTCCACGAGGTCCAGCGGAACCAGTGGAACCACGAGCGCCAGGCATACCCTTGGAGAGGGGAAGAAGCAGCACATTAGGAACAGAACCATTGCTGCGTCACTGTGGTCTGCTGTACAGGTAGGTGTCATACTCACAATGGGACCAGTACGGCCATCAGAACCAGGCAGACCACGGCTTCCAGGAGTACCCTAAAGGAGATCAGAGTTAAAGATGGTTCTCCTAATGTGGCTTTGAATCCAAAACACAAAGATGGTGTACTTACTCTGGCACCACGGCCGCCAGCTGGCCCATTAGCACCGATCTCACCAGTGGGTCCTCTCTTGCCCTCCTCACCCTGATTTCCAGGGGCTCCCTGAGGTCCTGCGTTGCCCTGAGGAACACCACAGAGAAGATGGCTGTCACAAACTATAAACAGAATTGTTTTTGGACCCGAGTGTGTGAGGATAATGAAAATGTAAATGAATTAAGGCTTATACTTACAGGCTCGCCTTTGGGACCAGTGTCTCCCTTAACACCCTGAATGCCAGGATCACCCTAAAACGCACAACAAGAATTGTTTGGTACTTGGAGTGTTGGGGTGCTCCAGCTCAAATGTGTGGGGTGAGTTTCTCGTGGGTATTTCTGAACTAAAATGTCAGCTGCATTTACAAAAATAAAAATAAATGAATGAATATTGGAAATGTTGGCTCTTGAGACCAGACCTTAAAATAGCTGAAACTAGGTTTGAATCACAGCATGTATCATTTCTGTGACCTCGTCCCAACATTCTGAAACTACAGTTAACAAATATTAATGCTGATACGAGGTCATCATGACAATAAATATATCGATCTGTGTATTTAAAAAAAATAAAATAAAAAAAACCTTCCTGATGTTTATTTTTCAGGTGGACAATATGCAACAAGTCCAATACAAATGAAGCAGTTTTTCTTACTCAGCTAGTTTGGAGCTAGCTGCGTTAGCAAAGCATTCACTCACAGAAAGGCCTCTTGGTCCAGAGGCACCCTGAGGTCCCTGAGGTCCGGGTCCTCCTCTTGGTCCAGGAAAGCCAGGAGCTCCAGCAGAACCAGGAAGTCCCTAAACAACAGGTCAGACCTTCAGATCTTATATTTGTTAAATCCTTGTTGGGGCAGGTGTTTGTGTGACTGTGTGAGTGTTTATAGTTTATAGGTGTGTCTGCTTTAGAAACTGCTGTTACAGCTCAGACTTTAAAAATAAAATGTCTATCTTTCACCCTCATTATTCCACTCTTTGTGACCCCTGTAACATTGAGGTTATAGGTGTCATGTAGGAGTGATCCTGTGGAAAATGTATTGTTTCATGGCAGTGATGACTCAGAGTAACATCCATCACAGGTTTGATACTTACAGCAGCTCCCTTGGCTCCGTTCAGGCCATTAGTACCAGGGTTACCCTGTGACGAGAGCACCAGAGGTTAGGGCATCTCACTGTCCCGCATTTAAATGTACAACTCAGTTCAAATTATTACACTTGAAGGCTTAGATCCTGAACAAAAACACAACAAATGAATCTTAAAATTAAGCTGTTTAATTATTTTTATACTTTTGCTGTAAACACAGAGCAAAACACTATAAAAACTTCAAGGAGTTCTGAAACCTGCGTAAATAGATCTGAGAGACAGTGAAAGTCAAGTTTTGTTTTTCAGGGATTAATAGTTTTGAGAAAACATGGGGGTGAATATGTTTGTGTACTTACAGAGGGACCAACTGGGCCAACAACACCGTTGGGTCCAGGCTCTCCTCTTGCTCCCTGAGGTCCAGATGGGCCACTAGGTCCAGAAGGTCCAATCTCTCCCTGAAAATGACAAAAATACACCCACAGTCAACCTTCAGGGTTACCTGATGATTAATGTCAAACAGTGACAGGATGCAGAAATGATGTTTTATTTAAGTGTTGCAAACATTTGTATAAATAAAATAAACCTATTTGTGTTTACAAAATGTCCTTTGAAACAGCTGGTCCACGATTCTGACCGTCAGTGACATCTTTGTGTGATCTTAAATTCAAAACTTTTAGACGTTCATGCAACTTGAAGACGCTTCACGCTCACCTTGGGTCCAGGACCACCAGGGAAGCCAGGGGGGCCGGCAGCACCCAGAGGACCCTGCAGGAGGAACAAGCTGTCAGGATGGGTGCAGGTTTGACGTGTAGCTGCAGCAGCAGCAACATTTGACATCACATGTGCTGATTCATACAAACATTTTACTCCTGCTCCCATTTTAAATCGAACGACAGCAGTTTCTACTCACAGCAGGGCCAGCAGGTCCAACGTTGCCATCAGCTCCACGAGCACCAGCAGAACCAGCAGGGCCAGGACGACCTCGCTCACCAGGCTGACCACGTTGTCCCTGAAGACAAAACAAGTCACTGTATTCACATCAGGCTAGAAGACAACCGCTGGGAACACATAAAGACGTTCAAGGATTTGTGCCAACGTTGTGAAAAACTTACAGCCAGTCCAGGACTTCCAGCAGCTCCAGCAGCACCAGGCTCGCCCTAAAGGAAAGGTTAGAAATCAAGTGTTGGTCCAAAGGTGAACAACAGGAAGGAATAAATCATTTTGTAGAAAAGTCTGCCTTACTTTAGCTCCAGCACCACCGGGCTCTCCTTTACGTCCATCCAGACCAGTGTAACCCTAAAGCACAGAAGCACAGAGGTGACGAGGGTGCAGGGGATGTATCAGATTATTATGGGGATGGTTTTGAAACAGAAGATGAGCAGGAAGTGGGGATTATTTGAACGAGCGCTCAGTTGGAATAATCCAGACATGTAGTTTTCCCACACTTCTGTTAATCATTTTACTGGTGACGAAACATTCAGCAGGTAACTTAAAGTAACAATGGGGATTATTTTCTGTCTTTTCACAGGAGCTTTTACATTTAGCACATTTCTATGGGAGGTGTTTTCAGCTTCACTCCTGACCAGATGTGAAGTCTGTCTCCTTCCAGTCATTTTAAGTTAAAAACAACAACTAGAGATTATAAATGTCATTGACAGAAGAAAGAGGTCTGTTCTTCAGTGTTGATCAGTGGCTGTGTTGTAATCCAGTGATGCTCAACATGGGTACCAGCAAGGTGACGTTTTGGCAGGAAAAACTTACTCTGTGTCCTTTCATTCCTGGAAGTCCTGGGGTTCCGGGGAATCCACGAGCACCCTGCAATAAAAAAAAAATAAAAAAAAACATTATGCATGTGCCTGAGCATGCATCAGGATATTATGCATGTGCCACATTTGCAGTAACTGCACATCCAGGTCCATGTTCTGGTCTCGTACCTGAGGGCCGGCAGCACCTCTGTCACCGGGTTTGCCAGGTCTGCCGTTGTTACCCTGCGAGTTAACGGAAGAGAACGCTCCATTTAATGTTTGAAAAGCACGACCACAGCAACATCTGGAACAACTCGAGAGAAAGCGAGGGATGAAAAGTGCAAAAATACAAACGTACGTCCTCTCCAGATTTGCCAGGAGGTCCAGGGGGGCCACGAGCTCCAACTGAACCCTGGAAAAGTCAAGTCAAAGCGTGAACGTCTCAGAACAGGAAGTGATTCCGTTCATTTTCTTTCCACGTGATTATTTGGAGAAATGTTTTTTACTTACAGCCTGACCGGGCTCTCCAGGCTCACCAGCGTGTCCCGTGTGTCCTTGAGGTCCCTGATTACAAGAACAGGTTCAGAAATAAGTCACGACGCATAAAGATTTTAACAAAGTCCTTATGTGGGAGGGTTTCATAGGAGGTTTTGGTACTTACAGGGGGTCCAGGAGGTCCGGGGGGACCTCTGGGTCCCATTATACCCTGATAAGGAAAGAGAAGCAAAAAAAAATTAATTTGTTTAAAATATTTTATTGACAGAAATAGAACTCAAATATGAGGCAAAATAACAATTTCTCATGCTCTTTAATAATTCATATGCAGGCAAAAGTAAAAAAAAAAATCCTAAACTGGTAAAACAAAAAACGCATCGTTTGTGTTTTTGTGTTGGGAGAAGTATGCTCACCATGGGTCCAGGGCCAGGATCAGAAGCTTTAGAGCCATCGTACTGAGCAGCAAAGTTCTGTTGAACAGGTCAAATGAAACAGAAGATTAATTAAACACTAAACACGTCCACTATACGTTTAAACTGAATTCATTCAGGAGTTTTACACAAAAAACATTCATACAGATCAACGACCGCCAAGCACAAACAATGATCAACATCATTTCAAAAAGGGGGTTTAAAAATAATATATTCAAATTTAGTTGAAAATCACACTCGTGTTGTTCTACAAGGACTTTTGATCGAGCGATGAGTGTAAAGCTAAAACTTCATTAAACGAGTCCCTAGTGAGCTAATTCTGGGTCATGCAGGTGTTGTCCTAAAAGGTCGCGGGGTTCAAAAGGGCAAAGGGCAAAGGGCAAAAAGTTCAGCAGGTTCCTGTTCAGCTTGTAATAAAACATAAAGATCAAGTTTTGACGAGCTTTCTGCTTTAATGTGCACAGATTGTCGATATCAGAGTCATTTCAAAGCCTCTGCAGCACCATGAACGTCTTTTGAGTTCATTTTTAAGGAAGACTTTGAGCGAGCTCTGCCCTGATAAAAACTTTGAACAGCAGACTTACTCCTCCGAGTCCAGGGGGACCAGGTGGGCCAGCAGGGCCGGGGAGTCCAGGTTTGCCATCTTTTCCATTTGGGCCAGGAAGACCCTGGAAAACAAAGATGACAGAAGAGTATAAACAACTTTTAATAAATCATCAGCTGTCTGAAGATTGGACATGAATCTTGGTCGAGCAAAACGGCTATTTTAATATTAAAAGTCATTTTATTGTCGTGATTATCATTATCAGGTGGGAAAGATAACAGCAACGTTTGAAACGTGTGTATCCTTTCAGGAAGTAGAGTAATTGCACAGGTGGTAAACAAAGGGGTGTGGCGTGCAAAGGTTAAAAGGTCAGGCATCATTAACACACGCTTGGCCATAAGATGTGGCACAAATAAACATAAATAAATGCTGCATTTTAAACATGTGCTGGTTAAATCAAAGGCTTCAGCTTACCCTGTCACCTCGAGGTCCTTTGTCTCCTCTGGGTCCCTGCAGCACAGAAATCACCGAGTCAGACCCACAGCTCAGTTTATCGCTTCAGCGTGTTGCTTTGAAAGTTTTCTTTTCTAACAAAGCATGGTTTTAATCTAAATGTTACCAATCAAAGCATTTCAATTATTTTCAATCTATGAGGGCTTTCTAATAATTAAAGCAAACTAACAAACATGGCAATGTTTCCATAAAAAGGGGACTTGTTTGTCTGAGAAGCCGAAGTTTAAGCTCTCAGTAGAATAAAACTCATCTTCACCTAAACTCTTAAATAGAAAAGTAGATGATTTACTTGTTTAACATGGAGCATGTTGTTTCCATGTGAGTAAAACAAATGTATATGTTCTGGCGGCAGACATTTCCTTACAGTGATAATTTAAATAAAGCATGCTTTTGTAAAAACAGGCGTTTGTAGAAGGCCTGAGCACAGCACTAAGGACGTGACACACAAACTAGCTGGATAAAGATAATAATTTCACGATGCTTGTAACTTCCTGACCTGATTCTGAAATGCAGCTGCTGAAGCTCCAAACATCAAGCTTCATTCTGAGCAACCTCAACTGCAGCAACCCAAACAGAATGGGCTTTTATTTAGTCGGTGATTTCATCTTGTTTTTATTTGGACTCACTGATCTGAGATCAGCCTTTTTGTCTTTACATTTATCTAAACCAAGGAGGAGAGGGAGATCCCAAACTGACCCAAGGCCAGCTGTTAAAGGGACCAGCCTCTCTCTGCTGTCCTCAGAAAGGATCCTTTGTGCCCAGCTTTGGGGGCGCCTCTGAACTGCGGTTTAAGTTTTCACTGACACGATTTGTAGCCAATAGGACCCTCACCTGTTTGTGGACAGGAAGGTGTCCAAGTTCTGAAGCAGAAAACTCACTAAGGGTTGAGATTGCTCAGATTGGCCTGCAGCAGCTGCTAAACTCTACCCTGGGATGTTCCTCAGGGGTTGGAAAACAGAAAAGCGTGGCATCTTGGCAAGGTAAGCTGTCTTTAACATATGTTTCATGGTAGCATGCATGTGTTACTAACCGATGCTGGCATTGTGGAGATGAGGAGGAGGAGGATGCAGAGGGGGAGGGCAGGAAGACAAAAAGGGAATATTTTGTTAGAACATTTTTAAAAACTATAAATCAAAGCCTGTAAAAGAAGAAAATTTCCATCCATATGTACTTTTTTTTAATGCTTTATCGTTTCAATCTGTTTGACAACAAAAGCTCCTGACAGCTCACAGACTAGAACTCCTTCTGTTCCTGTAGGGAATTAAAAGCACCGTTGTCTGTCCTAAACTTAGAGCTGCCACATTCAAAACAAAAGTGCTGCTCCTTGTGTGGCCTCAAGTTGATATTCTTCACCAGAGCCAAGAAAAACTGATCAAAGTTTAGGACTTTTGCACTCATAACCTGTAACATGTTGAATTTAAACCTTACTAAAACACACAAAGCCTTTCCAACTACAGCAATCGTTTTCCTGCACGTGCTGTCAGCTTGGTCCAACAAGTCTTAGCACAGCTTCAACAAGAGCCAGAGGCCACGTCTACAGGCTGAATAATCGCTGTAACCTTTCTGAGACCGTGTGCGTTAATCAGGAGCTCAGAGCCGCAGCATTCCAGATGTTAAGGCTCTGCAGCTGCTAGCAGGTCTGAACCGGCGCTTGTATGCCCCTGGGAGAAGAATAGTTTTCCTGCCACTACGAACAAGATGAGAAGTAGCTCATTTCTAAAGACACCTGTTACTTGTATTGTGTTACTTAATAAATAAATACAATTTGCACAGATCTTCCTAAAATTGTGACTTTTAAGACATCTCTCCTAATTTATTGTACTGTCTTTTAGTTATATTGAGTTGCAGGTGGACATCAGCCCCCCCTCTGGCTGCCTCTGGACCAGCTGGACACCAAGCAGGGACCTCCATATGAACTCTGATAGACTGTGACCCAGTGTTTCCACAAGGGGGCAGACTTGAGCACTCAAATTAAAGTGAGCATTTTTTTTTCTTAATATCTAATAATTTAACCAAGTAACTTAAACTTAAATTCAAACTTTATAATGATATATTTGGATATTGTTTATTTTCCCCTCTGAGTAATGTTAAACTGTAAAAGACTTAACTGTAATTAAACGCCCGAAACAAGTTCTGTTGTTAATTGGATATTAAAATCCTAATTTCTGTTGTATCTATGATCATTTTATTGAACAGATTCGGTTAATTAATCCATCTGGTGCCAAGCAGATGTTTCCCCTCTTGACCACCAGGGAGAGACATTGCAGCTCCAAACTGGCTCAGTCCCTTCAACATCTGGATGGAACAAAAGTGTACAACGCCCCACTAAGTTTTTCACCCTATTTCTGAAAGAAAAGTCAAATCTCGCCTATTTAAATACCTCAGCATGCATTTAAAGCTGTAAGTAAGTGGTTTAGGCCTACATCAAACAGGTTTTTCTTAAAGGAAAACCCGTTTTAATCATCAGTATTGCATCCTCGGGGGGAAAAAAGTGTGAAGAATCCTTTGCTCAATCCGTTGGATTTTGTCTTCATGTTGACCATCACTGTAAGTCCCAAACAAAAGCCAAGCGAAAAGATCCACGCAGTGGAAATATCCATCAGAGAGTGGGGAAAAAAAGGAGCAGACAATCAAACTTACATTGGCATGATGCTAGGTATGAAGTTACTGCAAGCAGCAACAGAATCCGAGTATCCACAAAGCTGAGCATGTCTAAACAGACATGCAGACTCCTTGTGCCGCTGAGCCCCTGTGTTTAAACCACCTTCAAGCAGGCATACAGTTGTGGTGACGCGAGTAACTCCAAACTTAGCACGAACCTGCTGCCGTGATGCTAGAATAATAAAGTTCCATCAGGCCTATTTATACGGGGCAGGAGGGTCCCTGGTCTGCGTGTCAGAAGTCAGCTCCTCGGCCAATGAGCGAGCAGAAACCTAATCTGACTCCCATCCCACTGCAGCTCCGAGGCGGTCATGTGGTCCCGCATCCTCCTGCCTCCTTTCCACCAGAACCCGTTTGGCAAAGCTGTGGCCGTGATGATGACGAGTGCAACGTTTTAATTGGATCCATTCTTTTTGAGGACGTGGACAGCGTCGACGTTTATAAGAGAGATGAAGGCCTACTTCTATTCTCTACCTGCGGACTGTCGGGACCGAGGCGCGGCTCTGGAGACGTCCAGGCCTGTGCGTAAAATGCGCCCGTTTTGATGCGCGCGGGTGGGCTTTGTTTGGCACCGAGATGATCGGGGCCGTTCTTTAAGATGGATTTCAGAGAAAATGAAACTTTTCAAACAAGTCAACCATTTTTTCCCCCTTCCTGCTAATATTATTTATTTTTGTTGGACTGTTGCGCGTCTTTTACGCACGGATTTACCGAAGTAATCAGATACACGAGCTTCCACTGGTTCCACGGCTTTGAAAGACATTTTAGTGGAAAATATCCCGTTTTTATTTTATACACTTGTAAAGTGGTTCTCTGCTATTTTCTTCTCCACGTGTGGGACTCGTGCACCAAGCATGTCCTGATCCGTTTCCATTGTGCCTCTAAATAAACCACTTTCCTTGACACACTCTGTCAGAAGCAAATGTTTAAGTTTATAAGCAGTGGTTCACACTCAACACTGGTAGAGCTTCGGTCTGTGAAGAGGCAGGCTTGAGAGGAGATCTAGTTTCCTTAGGCTGTCTCTTTGTGCAGCTCTTACCTGTCCACATGACCAGACATGTCATCTGTTCCACCGCTGCTCCAATAACATTCAGTTTAGGCCTCACATTTCTGTTCTCATATTCATGGTTCAGTTCTACAAGAAAATCATTACACATATGACCAAAGTCCATGCTCAATAATCCAGGTATAATGTCTATAACGCACATGCATACTGTCAGTGAAGTGCAGAAGCAACAATTTCACAAGTGAGAACGACACTTTCTAAACAGAATAAAATAAGATTTTCAACATTTAAACAGGCATCTTTACACATGGACAGGAAAACTGAGTATTGTCTCTTGTGAGCTGTAAAAAGCAGGCGTAGCTGATGGACTCGCTCTGCTGAGCTGGACTTTTCCTGGGATTTTATTCAGCCAGCAGTCATAACTCCACTGCAGGTCTTGATGATGGAAATCTTGTGTCTGAATGATTCAGATTCATTCTCAAACTTTTTGTGCAGCATAAACATATCATGTGGATAAGGAGTTTAAATAACTTTAATTTTGCACATTTATTCTGTAGAACTTCTGTTCTTCTTCTTCCTGTCTTTGCAAGAATTGAACCAAAAAAAATAGGAGACGCAGTCAACAATGTCACCTCAGCTTTTTCTCTGAGTCAGACTCGAGAGAAATGAGAGAAGAAAGGGAAAAAAGAGGAGGAGGAGCATGAGATGAACTGTGTTTTAAAGATAGCAGAGCTCCCACCCGCTGCAGACTGACACTCTCATATTCGCTGAGGGAAAGAGACCAGCAACAGGAGGCGTAGGGAACTAAAGATGGCTGAAAAGCTCCACATCATCAGACTTTTTTCCTCTTTTGCAACAAGAAATTGCCTTGATATCTTCTAAAGTGACTGCAATTGGAAGAAAGAAAATTATCAAACAAATTAAATTAACTGAACTTCAGTTAGAGCAGTAAATTCAAGCGTTACTGTGTAATTTTAATATTTTCCACAGATATGTTCTGTGTTTTATTTGACTCTAATCCTCCACAGATAATGAAAGGTCTATCATTCCTTGAAGAAATGCATTCGCCTGCTGCCCCCCATGGCAAAAGTAAAAATAAACAAACAAACAAACAAACAAACAAACAAACAGTATTGTTAGTGCTCTGAGAATATGTTGTGAATGACTCTCAGCCACTACATCAAATTTGAGCTCAGTGTGAAACTGACTGAGATTCAGCCACTTTTGTGCATGTTAAGGTTAATTAGCTGTCAAGATTATTTACATTAAATTTAATGAGAGAGCAGCAGCAGGTAGCTGTAGCACTTCCTGCACAGTCTTCCGATCTTCATCCTCTAGTCAATGTTCAATAAATAAACATTTCTTGCCATTTAATTGCACTTTCATTCATAAAAACTCTCCAGTTGTAAAGGTCTTGGTTCTGTTCTTCTCCCCTTGGATGTTTTTTAGGCCCACTGGAAGGAGACCCAGTGTAGACCCAGGACTCATTGGAAGGATTAAGCCTCTCTGGCCTGGGAGCATCTTGGGTTCCCTTAGGACATATGTGTCAAACTCAAGGTCCGGGGGTCAAATGTGTCCCTCGTTGACATCTGGCTCCCAAGATGATATGTGAAACGCAAAATACTTGTATCTCTTGAATTTTTTCAGTAATATTTGATTATGATGTTGAAAACACAACAGAGAACATCAAATGAGACCAGTCAAACTCTTGTTCAGGAACCTGTGACCAAGAAAAGATGTTGGGTATCTAACTTGAGTTAATGTAGATTTTGAAATCGCCCCTTAGTTTGAAAAAGGTTTTAATTTCAGCCCTCTTTTGTAAGTTGGTTTGACACCCCTGCCTTAGGAGAAGATGGAGAGTTTTGCTGCTGTGGATAATTTTTATGTATTTATTTCAAACCTGTTGTCTCCACATCCACAGTCCACTGCAGGAGATCTGTAGGCATAAGAGAAGCTGATATTTCTGCTGCCGTCTCACAATAAGACCAGCTGAGCCTGGATTCAGGAGGAGGGTGGCTGTTGACGTCAGTTCCTCTTTGGTTTCAGAGGTGATGATGATTATGGACAGAAGATAAATCAGGTGTACATTGCATCACTGCTTTTTAAGAATTTCAGAGTCAAAGTTTCTTTATTTGTCATACACACCACATGTGGTACATGTGGTGGAATGAAACTGTGTACACAGGGTCCCAGTTACATCCAACAATAAAATGTAAAAGAAAAACAGTGATAAGATCAAAGAAATGGACTAAGAAAAACGTTAATAAAAATACACTAAGCACTAATAGTAAAATGGTAAGTGGACTGTACTTATATAGCGCCTTTCTATCTTATCAAGATACTCAAAGCTCTTTACAACAATCTGTGTCCTTATTTACCCATCCATACAGCTCTATACTAGATCTATACAAAACTGAACAAATCATTCTAAAGAGACTAATCTGAGCTTTATCACATTCATAAAATGATGGGACGCACATCAGAGGCAATGAAGGGTTCAGTGTCTTGCCCAGGGACACTTCGGCATGTGACTGCTGATGGATTCAAACCCCCAACTTTCGCATTGGAGGACGACTGTTCTAACCACTCAGTCACAACCGCCCTGTATAATAGTACAAAAACAATATGATGAACAGCAGCACGAACATGAGTCTGCGTGAGCAGATGAGCACGAATGAACACAGCAACATGAAACAGATAAGCAGCAACATGAAACTGATCAGCAGCAACATGAAACAGATCAATAGCAACATGTAACAGATCAGCAGCAACATGAAACAGATCAGCAGCAACATGAAACAG